AAAAAAAAAAAAGCTGATGATTTCTTGTCGCTTTAAGTTGGTTAAAAAGTATTCTGGGGGTAATGCTATAAATTTAATTAAATTGCAAAAACCTTACTTTAAAGTGGTTAATCTTTTGTGAGTTTTAAACCCATTTTAACCAATCTATATTAATCAAAATTCAGCATATTATTTTTAAAAAAATATGGCCAGAAATAATTTTAATCACAAAATCGTATGTATTTGATTTAAATCGGATTTTTTTGATTTAAATCAGATTTTTTGGATTTTTTTTAAATTTACCATCTGAAACACCTTATAAAAGATTTTAATAAGACATAATATTGATTAAAAATAATGTAACTTAAATAGCTATTATTTCTCACTGAAATAGAGGAATTTAAATATTATTATATTATCACATGCTAATCATTGAGTTAAGAAAAATCTTGGTTGTATTTTTCGAGCTCAACTTGCTGATGATTGTTAAAAATTTAAAGGAGAATTCGTCAACTAGATATCTAATGAAGAGTAAATTAGTTCAATTAAGAAAACCTAACTGGAAGAAAAAAAATTATGTCACACTGGAAGTCTTGATACACGCTAACTTCATATTTTATGCGATATAAAATCACTGCTCTTTAATTAGCAAAAAACTAAATGGTTATAGTTGAAGTAGGTTTTTAGCCAGAAAATCATTTTAAATGTATTTAATGGAAAATTACAATTTAAAAGTTTTATATCACTCTTATTCCCATTTACTCTTTTTTGAAACGTAATAATTTACGTGCCTTTCATTATTTCTTAGTGAAAAATCCCCATTATCAATAAAATCAGATTTAAAAAAATCCCCCCCCCCTAAGGAATTTATTAATTTTATTGAAGAAAAATATTTTATGTTTAAATTATATATTTTTTTAAAATTTGTTTAAATTATTGATTTATTTTTTAAGAAATCACTATTGATTTAAATCAAAAATTTTTTTTAGTGAAATCATGAAAGGGTTAATATTGTAATTTCAATGCATATGCCTTTTATTATTTCGTAGTAAAAAATTAGCTGCCTTAAAAAACATTCATTATCAATGAAATCAGACTTTTCAAAAAATCACACCTTTGAGAATGTATTTGCTAATATCATTATATGAATTATGAAATTAATATATTTTTTTACTAATTATGTTCATATTAAATGTTAGTAAAATTATGTTTGTTTAAGTTAATGTATTTTTTTCTAAGAAAAATCACAGCTGGTTTAAATCAGTAATTTTTAAAAAATAATCAAATGATTTAAGGCACGGTTAGATTTGAAATGCATTATTTTCTAGTAGTACATCTGATCCTGACTGCAATATCTCAGATTTAATCCCGGCATAACTTGGCATGTTATGTTTCGAAATATTTCTCGGCCAGGTAGAAACTTATCGCAAATATGGTGCATGATTTTTATAAATTGCACCCCTCGCATGTCAATGAGAAGAGAGACCTACTTAAAAGCGCAACAAACCAGAAGCGCAATCCGCATACCGTGAGGAGTGGGGGGGGTTATAATTGAGGCAATTACAGAGAGCACTCCACCACTGCTCCTCATATCTCTACGCATCATGTGAACAAAATGGAAGGAAATCTAGCTTAATAATTTATTTCTGAATGAGCAGCTTTTGAAATAAATTGAAAAGCTTCTCTCAAAACCTATATAATACAAATACAAATCGTAATACAAATACAAATATAATACAAAATACAAATCATACACAAACGTTTCGGGGGGAGAAACTGAATCTCTATGCTTCCACCTGGCTATGGACCTGGTTCTTAGTTTAATCTACCTAACTATGTATCTTTTATTCTATTTATTTATAAAATAAGTAATTATAAAAAGTTTAAGAACCACAAAACAAAATTATTTCTACTTTTTGTCATTTTCTGAAAGGTGAGTGAGGCAGGAAAATGACATAAAAACCTACTTGTTTTTTCAAAATCCTTATAAATGTCTTTTTCTTTTTTTTAAACTGTCTTCTGTGTTCCCACTGAAAGACAGGTTTTAGCAAACTTCTTACCAATGACGCTTGTAATTAAAAATAATAAAAAGCATCGCCATCTTTGTGCCTTTGTATAGGTTGAAGAGAAATGAAAATAAGTGGCCTTAAAAAATTATGTGTTTTCTTTGTAACATACAAATTATTGACGGATTTTTATTTATTTTTTTTTTTTT